AAAGCAGCATCTCCCACCCTATGCTCACCCGATGGGGGACAGAGGAAGCCTGAGCAAGGCCTGTCAATATCAAGGACAGTGGGCAGAAGGTCATGACCAGACTACTTGACTTGTGTCCTGTCTCAGCCAGACAGGTCTACACAGTGCACAGTGGTTCCAGGATGGCTTGGGGCTGCTTTATTTTGCTTTTCTTTCTTTTTTTTTTTTTCTATTTTTTTTTGAAGTGTAGCTGACACACAAAGTTGTATTGGTTTTAGATGTATAACATAGTGATTTGACTATTCTATATGTTATGCTATGCCTACCACAAGGGTAGCTACCATTTATCACCATACAACATTATTACAATATCATTGACTATATTCCTTATGCTGTGCCTTTCAGCCCTGTGACTTTTTCATTCCATAACTGGAAGCTTGTATCTCTCACTCCCCTTCACCCATTTCACCCCTCCCTCCAAGCCCCTCCCCTCAGACAACCATCGGATAGTCCTCTGTATTTATGAATCTATTCCTGTTCTTTCTTTATTTGCATCTTTGTTTTGTTTTTTGACTTCACATATAAGTAAAATCATGTAGTGTTTATCTTTCTATCTGACTTAATCATTTAGTATAATATCTTCTAGTTCCATCCATGTTCTTGGAAACGTCAAGATCTCATGTTTTTTTTATGGCTGATAATATTCTACTGAATACATAGACCAAACTTCTTTATCCGTTAATCTATCATTGGACACTTGAGTTGCTTCCATATCTTGACTTTTGTAAATAATGCTGCAGTGACCATGAGGGTGCAGATATCTCTTTGAATTAGTGTTCTCATTTTCTTTGGGTAAATACCCCATTGTGGAATTACTGGATCATATGGTAATTCTATTTTTAATTTTTTGAGGAATGTCCATACTATTTCCCGGCGTGGCTGCACCAGTTTGCATTCCCACCAACACTGCACGAGAGTTAGCTTGGGGCTCTTTTGAATAGTCCACACCTCATACCACCACAACCCCTTTTCTGATTTTTTCAGAAATGAAATACGTGAGAGTCTTGCTAAACTCCAGAATATAGTGCCTTCTGGAGCCACAAACATGCAGGAAGGATTTAAAAAGGTACTGAATCTAGAGCTCTGAGGACTTCTCCTTTATGGGGTTCTTAGAGTATTCCTGGGTCCTCTCACTGCCCTCCCCCAACATTCCTTCATTTCCTTGCAGGCAAATGAGCAGATTAAACAAGCAAACACTCGAGGTAAGCTGCGTGGTGACTTCACTGTGGGCAGGTGTGGGGACAGAGCCAGGTCTGAGCCTCAGGGAAATCTAGTGCAGACCCTCATTGGCCCCTTCCTAGCATGGACTCTTGGAGCAAGGTGCTGACCTCTCTGGGCCACGGGTCCCTCTGTGCAGTGAGGATGAAACCACCCCCAGTGATGTGTCTCGGAACAACATGGGGCCATGCATGGACCTTCTAGGTTCTTGGTAACTGAGAGGTGCTTGACCTACACTTGGGCTGCCTGAACAAGAAAACAGAAAAGCCTGGGGACCTAGAGCAGACAAGATTCCATTTTCAGGAAAAAGTGCTGGATTTCCCCCTTGCAGCCCACTTTGTCTCCATCACATTTCTGGCCCTGGCTCCTTTCCCTTCTGTTCCTTCCCTTTGGCTGATGTCATCCTGTGCCTGTGTCTCCAGCACTGGAAAAGACTGTGCTCTGCCCACAACCATGTTCGTCTAGACTGTAGGGCTGCAGCACTTGCCAGGAAGGAAGCGTGGGCCTGGTGGGGAAAGGCACTGAGCTGGGCATGGGATCTGCAGCCCGAGAGTCTCTACCTCGCCTCCTGGACCCCTGGGCCCGCAGATAGAGCAGGACTTTCTGCAGGCGCTGCCCTGAGCCAGAGCCAGGCTTTCCACTGTGCTGTGGGACATCTGGTACAGTCGAGTCTGGCAGTCCGACCCTTTGCTCGTCTGAAAGGCTGACGCTTGTCCAGCGAAGTAGCTGGAGTTACCTTTCAGGGCAAATGTTGTACATCTGGTCATAGTGACAGTTCGGTAGGAAGGGCCAGAGCAGGGCTCAGGGCTGTCGTCTGTAATGTGGGTCCTGGCTAAGGCCCCTTCTCCCTCCAGGGCTGGGCTGCTAGCCCTCCAGGCACCCCTGATGGTGGATGCTCGGGTCGGGGTGCCTCCCCTCATGAGGAGGGAGTGTGGGGAGCAGTGCTGTGGTTCCAGCAGCCTGCAGAGAGTCAGTCACTCTGGGTGCCTTTACTGATCAGACCACTGCATGCTTCTTCTGCAGAAAAAAAGACTCCCAGCATTATTTTCGCTCTGACCGATGGAACTCTGCTGCCACAGCCCTATGGAAAGACCAAGTCGGAAGTGAGTCCCGTCCACTGTTACCAGTATTTTGCTCCACATATTTGGTGATTTATACTCAACACTTTCATTCTCTTAGGCTGAAAAGGCTCAGAAACTGGGGGCAATTGTTTTCTGCATTGGTGTAAAAGACTATATGAAAAACCAGGTAATTCCGAACAGGTAACATGGTGCCAACCTGTAAGCCTAAATGGGAAAAGCTTTCCCAGGGTTGCCTGAGATTGCTCCTCTAACCACCCCCACCCAGTGTCTGGACAGCAGATAGCCACTGCAGAAATGACGCTTGTCAGTTGTATAAAACCTGCCGTGGGAGGTGCAGGTGGAAGGGCTTTCCCTTCCCTAAGGGTGGGCTGCTGGCCAATGCCAAGGCCTGGACCTTGGAGTCCAACATGGCATGAGGGAAGAGACTGTCTCCTGGGATGGGGACTTCTGTGTCCTTAACCCTTGGCCATGGGCCCAAGGTACATCCTCTGTCTTGTAGCTGTTGGACATTGCAGACAGCCCAGATCACGTGTTTGGAGTGGACGATGGATTTAAGGGTCTACGAAACATCATAGGAAAAGTGAGTGAGGGATGAAAGAAAGGGGTTGGGGTGACTTCTCACCACAGCTGCCTGTTCCCTGTCGCTCACCTGCCCATCCCCCTCTCTATTCCAGCTCGTGGCTAAGTCTTGTATGGATATTACAAAAGTGGAGCCTTCCTCTTTCTGTGCGGGAGGTAAGAGCTGGAGTCACTGCTGTAAACACTGGGGTGTGTGTTGTACGCGCTGTGCGTGTGGTGTGTGCGGTGTGAGCATGGTGTGAGTTTCAGTGTGTCGTGTGTGCATGGGGTAGTGTAGAGAAATGTACACTGGGTATAGAAGTAAGTATATCTTTTTGTGAGGTGTACATGCCAGGGATTGTGGGACAGGTATGCATGTGATTCTGCTTTTTTTGTTTTTGACATAATAATATACATATGCTTCTCTACATAAGTTTAAGATGTTACCATGATTTCACATACGCATGTAGCAAAACGATTACCACAATAAGTTTAATGTGATAACTTTTTTAAACCTTAAAAGCAAAAGTTTAATATGTAACAAGAAAAAATATATTTAAAAACCTTCAACAGAACACTGTAAAATGAAATCCGAGAACATATAAAAAGAACAGTACCTCGAGACTAATTAGCCCTACAATACAAGTGTGATTCAGTATTTAAAATATCAGTGTAACTTACCGCATCAGCAACGTGTAGAAGAGAAACATGATTATCTCCATGGATGACTAAAGCATTGGACACAGTTCAATGGCCAGCGTCATACTAGGAACATAGCCAGACAAAAGGCACCCATACAAATACAGCTGACATCAGAAGTAGACTCTTGTCCTGCTTCTGGTTTAAAGCACCGAGCCGTGTGGCCAACCT